AAAGCTTATTAATAGCCTTTCTTGTTCTGTGTCCTATCTATTATATTTTGCTTCCTCACTAAACAGCTGTGCTTTACATTTAAAACAGCTGTGCATCTGATTTTTACGATGTTTTTCATGAATGTATAACAACAATACAAAGAGCAACACGTTTTAAGTTAGTGCTACACTTATTGTCTCTTATTTGTTCCCCACTAAGGAATGTTTTTTTCACTAAATGTTTAGATTTTATAAAATTATTGTGCACTTGTGATATTTCTAGGCTAAGTTTTGCTGAGTTATCCACTAATCTAGTTTACAATAGCATTTTTGTCATATGTTATGGTCATATATATATTTTTTTATTTGTTGTTTTTCTTTATAATGAAGTTATCTGTATTAAGTAGATTGTTTAACACACAAAAGAGTGTGGTTTTTAGGGTTTTATTTTGTTATAATAAACAAAAAAATGAAATATAATTTTTTTATCCGATTAATCGATTAATCGAAAAAATAATCGTCCGATTAATCGATTATCAAAATAATCTTTAGTTGCAGCCCTAAATAATAGTATTACACATGCTTTCTGTCTATCTCTGCCTGTCTGTCTATCTTTCTGCCTGTCAATCTCTCTGCTTGTCTGTCCATCTCTCTCTGCCAGTCTGTCTATCTATCTGCCTATCTATCTGTCGTTCTGTCTATATCTAACTGTCTGTCGGTCTGTCTACCTATCTGTCTACCTATCTGTCTCTGTCTTTCTGTATGTCTCTGCCTGTTTGTCTGTCTGTCTGTCTATCTCTCTGCCTGTCTGTCTATCACTCTCTGCCCGTCTGTCTATCTATCTGCCTGGCTATATCTCTGGCTGGCTGTCTATCTATCTCTCTACCTGTCCGTCAGCCTTTCTGTCTATCGCTCCTGCCTGTCCATCTGCCTGTTTGTCTGTCTGTATATCTATATCTCTGCCTGTCTATACGTCTATTAATCTCTCTCCCTGTCTGTCTGTATGTCTATCTATCTGCCTGTCTTTCTGCATGTCTATCTATCTGCCTGTCTGTCTATGTCTCTGACTATCTATCTATCTATCTATCTATCTATCTATCTATCTATCTATCTATCTATCTATCTATCTATCTATCTATCTATCTATCTATCTATCTGTCTCTCTACCCATCTATCTGCCTGTCTGTCTCTCTACCCATCTCTCTGCCTGTCTGTCTATCTCTCTGCCTGCCTTTCTCTCTGCCCATCTCTCTGCCTGTACATCTATCTCTCTGCCTGTCTGTCTGTACATCTATCTCTCTGCCTGTCTGTCTGTCTGCCTGCCTATCCATCTATCTGTCTCTCTGTCCATCTCTTTGCCTGCCAGTCTATCTGCATGTCTGTCTATCTATCTCTCTGTTTGTCCGTCTAGCTGTCTTTCTGTCTCTCTGCCTGTCTATCTCTCTGCCTGTTTGTCTGTCTATCTCTCTGCCTGTACATCTATCTCTCTGCCTGTCTGTCTGTATGTATCTCTCTGCCTGTCTGTCTGCCTGCCTTCTATCTATCTGTCTATCCGTCTCTCTGTCCATCTCTTTGCCTGCCTGTCTATCTGCATGTCTGTCTATCTATTCAATTCAATTTCAATTCAAATTGCTTTATTGGCATGACTGTACATATTACAATATTGCCAAAGCTTGTAACACATAGTGAAGACATCAATAAAAACAAAGTATTATAACAACTTAAATTGAAATGTACAAATTGCAAAAAATAACTGTGTAACAGATTATAAATTCTATGAATTCTATTCTATCTATCTCTCTAGCTGTCTTTCTGTCTGTCTGTCTATCTATCTCTCTGTCTGTCTGCCTATCTCTCTGCCTGCCTGTCTATCTCTCTCTGTCTGTCTGTATATATCTCTGCCTGGCAGTGCCTGCCCATCTATCTGTCTTTCTCTCTATATCTCTCTCTGGCTGTCTGTCTATCTCTCTGTCTGCCAGTCTGTCTGCCTATCTTTCTGTCTGTCTGCCTGGCTGGCTGTCTATCTCTCTGTCTGTCTGGCTGTCGATTTCTCTACCTGTCTGTCTGCCTGTCTATCTCTCCGGATGGAGCGTCAGGGTCTTCAGGACAACACACAGGTGAGTGTCTCAGACATCAGACATCCTCCAAACGCTGATGTTCAACACAACACCTTAAACTGAAACTGAAAACTCACATGAGATGTTGTGAACTCTGGGGGAATCTCTGCACTTTAACCAGTGACCAACAACCGTCAAAACATCCTGACGTCTGAGGTGACGGTGGTCAACAACAAACATCACAAACACACACACCGGAACAAACAAATCCTGCCACTATTGTTTGCCTCTACTTGATTTGATTCAAAAATTTATTTCACTTTTTCAAACTCCTTCAAATCAGCATAACAGATTTGATTTGTTAATAAAATGTGTGTAAACAAATGTATAATTTGTGCATTTAATGCTACACATAAATCAAACATTTAAATCTTTAGATCAGCACTTTAAGCACTAGATCAAACAACTAACATAATAACACCACTAGAAACTCTACACCAGATTGACTCCATGTTACTCATTAATGAACCCTTCTCAGGTTCAAACCTTCAGGCCATCAGACCTCAACCTTAACCCCTAAGCCACATCATTCATTATGAATACATGAACTCCAAACCTTGGATCATCATGAGGTTGTTTGTCTGTTCATTTCAATCTAAATGGAATCAGACACTCGTGAGGTTCAAACCTATAAGTATCAGCAGCACAGAACCCATTTAACCACTAAACCACAGCCCCCATATAAGACCTTTAGCGCTGATACTGAGACCATTATTGGGTTACTTTTGACACTGAGGAGGCAGATGTTGACAGCAATGAATGTATTATGGACTAGAACTCGCTAACTTTGCGCAACCAGTCGAAATAATTTACCACTAAACCACAGCACCTAGAACTACTGAATCCATTTCACATATACCAACCCTTTGGGATTTTTAAACCTTTAGACTTTTGAGTAAACAGACCTGAAACATGACTCTTTAAGGGGTTCAAACCTACAACCACTCAGTTAACGATTTTACGACCACACACAAAGTGTTTCACTAGATTAACAAAGTTCTGAAATATGACAGATCTTAGTTTACAACCACTAAACCACTAATCACTGTAGGATTCACTGGATGACTGAAATACCCACCATCCATTTGAACCCATAAGCCACAGGTAAAATGTCAATTTACATTGAAATACCCTACTAAAGTCAATTCCAATGAATGATCCCAGGGATGTGGGCCAGATGGGGGCCGATCTGGCCCGACACTATATTACCGTCTGATCCATTCTGAAGTTCAAACCTTTTCATCACCATCCCTGATCCTTTACCACTAAGCCACATCACCCATTATTCCAGTACCTTCTTGAGCTGGATGTACAATCTGCTTAAACCTAAAACCTTCAGGTTAGCAGCCACTTTAACCACTAAGTCACAGCTTACCTTTAAAGACCTGATCTAGGGGAGTTTTGACATTTCTAGGATAGGTTACCCACTAAACCCACGTTAATGACTGAGTTATGTATTGCGTTTCTTACCCTGCTGAACCAGATGCTGATCTGGGTCTCGGACAGCACGGCTAGGAAGAAGCGTTGCGCGCTGGGCTCGACCAGAAAGGGCCGTTCGCCGCTCCGGAGCGGGCAGAGGAGCCTCCGCGGCCAGCCGCTCAGAAAATACATTACGATCCGGTGTTCTGACCCAAATCACTGCGACACCGGGGCGGACAGACTCCCTCCAGCGGCCTCCATGCACCAGAACCGAACTACACTTACACACGGACTCGGTGCGTGTTCAGTCAGGGATCATCTCGGCTGTATTCGGTGTGGGTTCGGATGATCCGAGTCCAAATTCCGCTTTATTTGGTTACTGCGGTCGATAATGTTTACATAAAACCACGTAATGGAGCCACGGACACGGAAGCGGGTCTCAGCTCGGTGTCGCGGCGTTGTGCGGTTCTCAGTGCGCGACTGGACCGCTGGACTCAGTTTTCCAAAGGGAAGTTTTGGATCCGAATTTGTCCCATGAATCCTCCACCGTCGCCATCTTTAGTCTCTTATTTATCCCGATCAGCTTCGTGCTTCTCAACGCCTCGAGCCGTAAAAGTAATTACTCATGCGGTAATGACCAGTTCTGTCGGTAGGGGGCGCGAGGCGGCCCGCAATATATTGAGGTTAACGGAAGAAACTATGATTTAAACCGAACTAGAGCGGGACTATTTTTAAACGGTCTATTCTGATTTAAACGGACTAAAGCGGGAATATTTTTAAACGGTCTATTCTGATTTAAAAGGACAAGAGCGGGAATATTTTTAAACGGTCTATTAACGATCTGATTTAAATGGACAAACTGTCAAACAGAAATTGTAATTTGTTCTTGCTGTTCTTTTCTCTATCAGTCACAATTAAGAAATTGACATTTCTCCTTCAGCTACATACGCATTTTTATATAGACTTAAAAAGAATAATTGTTATGATTAAGCAAATTGTTTTACTTACAAACTCTTAGCATCAACCCGGAAATGGTTTTCACCTCAAGTGTCTCGCGCGCTCTGGCTCTCCCTCGATTTCTGTTATTCATGACGCATCAGAACATTTTGGCGTCATACGTCAGTTCCTCAGCGCTTTAACAAAAACAGTTCACGGAGCTCCGGCGCCTCCTGCCGGTGGAAGCGAGTAATGCACCACACACTGTCCGTTATTAAAATTAGATTAAAATTACCACTCAGAGACGAAAAAACTGTTACATTTAACTATATATAGATATGATATATATTACAGCTATACTAAAGATCTAAAAATATATATTATTAAAAACAAAACGTGATTTTTTCCCCTATTATTTCTTGAAAGTATCCCTAATAAACATTTAAAACTGTAGATTTTTCTCATTTTATGCATTGATAAAAACAAGTCATCTTAGTATCTGACATCTGCACTGTTTTATTAGTTATTATAAAGACAGACCAGCCACAATTAAAATAGTTCAACGTTTATTTTATATGAAGTCTCATAAATTATACACAGAAGTTCTGCAGTCAGTCTGAGTAGAAGATAAAACGCCATCAATGAAAACAACAGTGTTACGGAATGATAAAAACAGATTAATTTCTATTAAACATTATTTAATCATTTAATGTAAGTCATGTTTCTGACACAAGTGGTGTGTGTGTGTATTCATATATTAGTTACTATAGTAAAGCTGCATTTAAAGCGGGAATTTACAAGTTCAATCATATCAACAGCACGTGTAAATCTCCTTCGGAAACATGCGATCTGTCAGTCTGCTTTTTTATCGGCCACCGTCTTCGGCCCGTGAGCTGTGGACCCATTCGCCGCTCCATTACACTCGTCCTGAGGGACAGAAGAAGAAGAGCATGAATCGATCAGTTGTTAATAACCAAAATAATTCACCAATGAGACAATGTCCTCCTTTTGCACCGTTTAACCCTTTACCTGTCACATAATAATGATAATTGACATTAAAATGCACTATACAAACTTAAATGGTTGTAATTCAAGATTGCTTTGGAATCTTTTGCACCGTTTAACCCTTTACCTGTCACATAATAATGATAATTGACATTAAAATGCACTATACAAACTTAAATTGTTGTAATTCAAGAATGCTTTGGAATATAGACCTAAGTTTAGTCTTGTTTTAACGAAAACAATCAGCAGATTATTACTAAAGTGAAAGCACTTCAAAGAATTCAAGTATGAAAAAGTTATGGAAGTTATAATTTACAGTAAATCAAATATGCCTTATTAATATATATTTTTAATATGAAATAAATATTTTACAAAAAATGTTTTACTGTAAAATTACTATAAAATGAAAACTATATATCTAACCAAGCTGTGTTCCAAATTTGAAGTTGATATCACAAAAATTGAAGTTCCCGTGAGATTTTGTTTAGGCGTAGTACCAAAAATAGCCACCGGGTGCCTATGAATTCCATTGAATATAATTGTATGCATTTTGCCATAACAAATTAATACATTTCTATCCAAATATAACTTTTGTCACTAAATATGGAACCTTGAGACTTCAGACCTTTCTGACAATATGTGTTTTGTCAAAATTAGAAAAGGATTTCATATTAAATTATGAAAGATGATGCCCAAAAGGGGAGGGGCCTAATAAAAAAAAATACCGTTTCTATGGTAACGCAACGTCCAATTTCAAAACGGTTTTCACAGGATGAATTCTGAGTTCGTAACCTTTCAAATGATACCTAATTTATGATAACTACTAAAATATGTGATATAATAATAATAAAAAATATATTTTATATATATATAATATATTATACTTTTTAGAGGACTTCATACCTTACTTTTTAAATTTTAATTTTATCTTTTTTTATTGACAAATACAAATTATGTTTTATTATGAACTTTTAGCGCTGAAAAACAAAAGTTTCAATGATTAAAAGTGTGTGCTTCGACTTTTTGTAACAAAGGTCAGAAACTCCTGTAATGACGTTGATTTTTTGAGGCGCACTCTTGTCATAAATTCATATATTACTGTTCATTCATAATTTTTAAGAAAAAAACAGACCTATAATATCTATTTAGGAGTCTTAGACCTTTCCAATGATATATAGTTTGTCATGACTAGATTAGGATTTAATAGTAATATAGTGAAGTAAATTTAGGTTGCTCGTATACGGGCAAGTGACAGTTAAGGGGTTGAGGAGCCGGGTTTGTGATCACTGAATACTTGTTTGTTTTGTTATGGTTTTACAGTATAATTTTGGGGTTTTTTTCTGTCCCTGTCAAATAAAGAGTTAAATTAAAAATGATTTGATCTGATTCAGCCTGATTAACAGATTATAAACAGCTAACATAGCACTTTATTTTACACTCCTGAAACAGGAAAAATTAGAATATCGTGCTTGGCACCATGACCAAGTACTGCGATGTTTGGCTTTCGGATTGGAAGGAAAGCGTAGTATGACCAATAAGTTGCCGCCTGTTCTAGCAAAGCATTACACGCAGTGTAAAGACAATATTCCTCCGTCCAGGCGAGCAACCACCAAGAAAAGGTGTTAACACCAATTCTTGCCCAGGACAACTGGAAGCTGCTAGGGACTGGAAGATGCTGGCTGATCTTGGTCAACGGCTTACTTTTACTACGACCAGATATTGTTTTGTGGTCTGGATCAGCACGCATTGTTCAACCGATAGTGTTAACAGTGCCATGGGAGGATGCGATTATGAGAGGAAGAAATTGCGGTATGCTCATCTGGCATCTGAAGCGATGCCAGCGAGGATGGAGAGTCCAGGTTTATCCAGTGGAAGTGGGTTGTCGAGGTTTTGTGGCACACTCTAGAGACATCGGATTCAGTGGCCAAGAGTTGCGTCGCACAGTAAAGAACTTATCTGAAGAAGCAGAAAGGAGCAGCAACTGGCTGTGGTTGAGACTGAAAGATTCTAGCTGGCTATGTACAGGCCGCCACGCTACAGTTTCGTAGAATTCTTCAAGAGTCTGTTTGTATAGGTTGCATTGTATTTACAGTCATTACGTTCCTGTGTATATTGTTTGTTTGAATGACGTGTGTGTGTGTGTTACGCGTACAGTGCTGGGCTTCTGTGGTGGCTCCTTCACTGCGCTCCTCCAGAAGCGAGAGATGAACGGAGAGATGAAAGGATAGATGAACGGCTCCAGGAACCGCTTATACACCCACAGGAGGACCGGGATCACGATACAGGGGATACACACCATATCTGCACACACTCAACACATATTAATATTCATATCTGCAGACAACACAACACATTATTCAAATTCATATCTGCACACAACTGAACACATTATTAATAATAATATCTGACGGAGAACTGAACACAGAAGACATTATTCATATTTAGGGGTGTAACAATATATCGTGTCACAATACAATACAAACAATGCAATACAAAAATGCATCAATATGTTTTGAGTATAGACCATTTCACAAGATGTAAACAACACTGGTCCAGAAACACTTCCTGTTTCAGTTTGTAACTGTTTTCTTTATTTCACATGTAAAGAAAACATCTTAAAGATGTTTGTTTAACTTTTTGATTCAGTTTTAAATGTTCTGTTGGTAGTAATTTATCCCAGCTTTTATGTAGTGTTAAAAAACTGAAACAGGAAGTGCTTCTGGACCAGTGTTGTTTACATCTATTGAAATGGTCTACAGTTGAAGTTTCCAAAATAAAGATTCAGCGTGAGAAAAGATTCCGGTTTTCAGAGTGTCAGTACATTAAACTACTACAATGTATAATAATAATACAGTGGGGGAATGTGTGTGTGTCCTGATAATGCCAAATATCTGATGTCACCAGTAAAAAGTCCTACATTATTTTAAATATATCAAGTCACAGACAGAGCTTAAGCATATTCATCTGAAATAATTATGTATTTTCAGCTTCAGAATCATGAATATTATTATTCTGGTTTCTCTATTGTCGGTGCTTTGGGTTTTCAGCACCAAGTCTAAGAATATTAATTTACACACACAATGTAATATAAAACTTAGCATTTAATATATATATATACACGGTACACCATAGTAAACATTATGATGTAAGTCTGTTAGCTCGATGATAACCGCTGACTGCCTGTTTATGATCATCAACCTGATCTATAAAGAAACACACACACATCATTCTAATCTACTTATCATATATAAGAGCAGAAGATCATATATTTAATTCAAATCTACACTAAACGCAGTAAACGTGTGTAAACCTCACCTTTTTGTGCGGAAGCTGAAGTAATATGCTGTAACGCTGAGTGACGCCAAAGCCAGTGACACGGAGTTTGTTGTGTGACGCTGATGATGATGATGTCACTGCTGCCATCCAGCGGCGAGGAGGAGCAACAACACAAACAGATCTCGGTCAACCGGCGCGTTTTTTTTTTTTTTTTTTTTGTAATGGGCTATATGCACGCATAAGTTCCGCATTTGACGCAAGGATGCTCGTCTATTTCCGGTTGTGTAGATTAAAGCGGAGGAAAACCGGAGAAAACGGGATTATGGCAGAGTCTTCTGTCCTCCCGTCTTTGAAACGAAACGTACGTTTAGATGTAATTTTATATACAGTTATGTTTATTTTATATAATTTTAAAAAGAAGCATAAACACAACGAGGGGTGTCTGTTTTATCTGTTTTTGTGACTAACGTTTCATTAGTATAACCATGGAGTATAAAATTCAATATAAATTCTCGCTATTGCATTGGACTCTATGATCGGCGGAAGTTATCGAGCATCCCTAATGCTTCACCGGAAATACCGCCGTGCATAGAGCCCATAATGTCCTGAAGACCGCGTTAAACTTATTCCAGAGAACACTTTACCACAGATTTTAGTAATTTGGGGTCCGTAAAGGCACTACATGTGCTAATATATAATAAAACGTTGAATTAAATTGTACTGTCTATGTACCTTTTGGGAAAGGTCATGAGATAAAACGAGGTCATGAGATCACCCTCAAATGTGACAAAATGTAATGAGATAAAAAGTCGAAATGACTGTCATTGTCATTTAGTAAATTTCAACTTCGAGTCGACCTTGTACATCATATTTTGGATTTATGTCATAATTTATTTACCAGGGATGTGATTTTTCCGGATTAATCCGGAATTCCGGATTTTCCGACCTGAAAATGTGACCTACGTGAATCATGCAGATCTGTAAAAAAAAAAAAAAAAAAAAAAGGGGGGGGGGGGGGGGGTGTCGGTGTCGGCAGCCGGAATGAAAAGGAGAGAATATGAGGCCATAGTAACCCATAACTGGCTGACGTGCGTACAGAAAGTTCCTTTCAAAGTATCAACAAGGACGTTGCGTTCAGCCAGAGAATGTCTAATTGGTTCAGCTTGTTCACCTGCTCAATTTCGTATCTCAGTCGCTCTCGCCCTGGTATCGTTGTCAGTTGACAAAAACATCACAGTTAGGTCACCAGGTCTGGCCGATATATCGATATATTTCAAATTTGCGCTATGATCCTTGCTCCAAGCAAGCTGCAGACTGCAGCTATCGTGCATTCTGTCAGTTGCAGTCCTCCTGACACCTCCGTCTCAACAGCATTAGTGTACAACGCGACAAATACTCGCAGAGGAACGGCTACATCAGTTCAGCGAGTTCACAAAAGTTAATTTGCATCTGCTTTAAAGCCTTGCCGGTTAAACATGTCATTCACTGCTAATGCGCTGTTCTGAGCGCGAACACCCGACGTGCACATGCGCTAAAAGCTTGTAACAGCGCCTGGTTGCTGGACTAAGTTATCTTTCGAGTAGCCTAGTATTATTTCGCTAATACTCTCAAATATACACAAGGTTTACATAAGAACATTTGGTTATGTCCAGGGGTTAAAGTGGTCCGGAACTGCGTTCCGGCACCTCAGATAAATTAATAAATAAATAGATTAATTAATCTCAACGAATCTTGCTTCTCCCGATATGGACCAACTTCCCTTCCTCTCCGCTGAACGCGAGCGATAAACACAAAGTATAAATTATATAAAGTATAAACTGTATTAAGTATAACAGCATAAAGTATAAACTATATAAAGTAGCTATAAACGTCTCGTCCGTTTGGAGAGGTGCGCGCGGAGCCCCGCGCTCGTGCGGACGCGTCTAGTTATACACAAGGCTTTACAAATGCTTGAAATGCACTTGCGGTGGTTGAGCGCGGTAAAGTTAGTTTTTAGGTCCGAAATATTTCGCCTGACATTTGTTTTCCCTATAGACGCTGTTCTAGGGTCTTACAAAGAGATCAATAGCAGGATTTAGTTTTAACAAACCATTGTATATCGACATTAATATTCGTTAATTAATATTCAAAAATCACCTGCGTGCATTTAATGCTGCATCGAATCCTGAGAATGCTTTCACGGGTTTGCACAGCGCATGATGAGGGAACGTCTGCCAATTCCACCAAATAATTTGTATTATTTAAAATAACTTTTTTAAATTCCAAAGCTTGTATTAGGTGGCAATACAGACCTGGTAGCCTTGAGTAAATTAACTTGTTTAAGATAATGATTCATGAAACTTATCAATTATTTACTTCACTGACAGATGAAAATGAAAGACTATCAGTCAAAGTTCAGGGGGTTTAGGAGTTTAGGAGGGGAAGAAATAGGGCAGGATAAGGAGACTGAGAAAAATAAAGATGTAGATGAGAAGAGAGCAGGTAGGCTATTGACAAAATAATCGAATGCCCACTGACATGGTTTTAAAGCTATTTATTATCCTTTTTTTGGCCTTCAAAAGTCTTAAATGGCACATAATTTGGTCAGAGAAATCAAAATTTTCTCGGGGGAGGCCAACTGAAAGCAAACCGAGAAAATTGAGAGAAATCTGCTTGTCAAATGCTCCGTGTATATTAGACGTGTCGCGTACAGGTCTTAAAGTGACAGTACCCCTAATAATAAAAATGCAGCCGCTTGTTCTTAAAGGGATAGTTGACCCCAAAATAAAAATTCTGTCATTATTTATTCACTGTAATGTTGTTCCAAACCTGTATTCATTTATTTCTTGTGCTGAACAAAAAAGAAGATGTGGGTAACCAGACAGTTGCTGGTCCCCATTGACTTCCATAGGGAAAAATTTAGTATGGAAATCACTGGGGTACATCAACTGTTTTGTTACCCACATTCTTCCAAATAACTTAAAAAGAAGAAAGAAACTTATTCAGGTTTAAAACAACTTGAGAGTAAATGATGACAATTACAATTTTTGGGAGAACTATTAATGTTAATTAAACAACAAAACACAGAGGAAATCACTCACTGCTCTTGAGAACTTTAATAGTAGCTTTAATAAGAATCAATGTGTCATTTATACAGTGAAGACTATATTTGACTTTGATTGAACAATTGCTCTCAATTGCGGTATATTTTCCTGCTTTTTTGTCCTTAGCCAATCACATGCCTGATTTACAAAGGCATGATTTTTTTTCTTATTGACATGGCTGCCATAGATAAATTTACATTACATACATTTACTTTTTTATCCATAGCAACTTATAATTAACAAGTACTGTAGTTTATCATGACATAAATGATCATATACTCTATAAAAAGTTTAATCCGGTACCCTAAGAGCTAATTTTACCCTATTTAGCTCATGAAATTTGTTTTGTTAGTATAAATTGATCTGTTTAGGTTCATTCATGGTTGTTATGGTTGTAATTTTTAAAGTTTAATCAAATAAAAATAGTTATAAAAACACAAGAGTACAAAATAAAACACAAAACACATGCCTTTCAAAAAGTTTTTTAATTGTATTTTCTTATAAATGAAAATAAGGCGTAATTTATATACAAAACTGTACAATTATTTGTGCAGTCTGAATATAGAAATCTAACAGCTGGACAGATGCAGAAGACAATACACAGTCTGTGTTCATCGACCGAAGGCCACTGAGTAGCCTATTATAGTTTATACACTGATGAAGGCAAGATCTGCATAATTTAACACTTGAAAGGCTGAAAAGACACTAAATGCATTTAAAGCACATTACATTCACACTGAAGCACAAAGATTCAGTCTCAACTCGGATACACACTATCATTTGAACTTGGGCTTAAATATGAAATTTCACTGTGTGATTTTTCCATTGACGTCCAAGTGAACCAAAATCATCAAGTGCAAATTTTTCATGTTTGGCACATCGGTATACTGACAAAGAAATCATAAAACTCAAATAAAATGGCTCAGAGATTAAAACAGTGACCATCTAAAAAAAAAAAAAAAACAGTGCGTTAAACGTGCAGCTTTAGAATTACATTTAATACGGTGTATTTTAGTGCTATGTAATTGATAATACACACCTGCAGTGACGGTAAGAGGTTATTATGTTATGATTTTGCACCAAAGCATCTCGTTGAAGGTAAGCCAGTACAAACATGATACTGTAACATATCAAAACACCCATGTGTGATCCTCTGAACAATGAAAATATACAGATTGAACCTTTTAAAAATACTTATTTTCACACTTCAGAAGAGATTCTGAAATATTAGTACAGTAACACTATTCAATCTCACTGCAATCCTGTTCTGTCAAATAATACTTACAGATCTTCATTTCATAACAATAAACCTCGAAATCATCTAAAATAAATCCGACATTTGTCCGCGTTCAGTGTTTGGGATCAAAGTTTACATTTACATCAAATTAACAAATGCTAGATCATTAAACCTTAAAGGGTTAGTTCACCCAAAAATGAAAATTAAGTCATTAATTACTCACCCCCATGCTGTACCAACCCCGTAAGACCTTCGTTCGTCTTCGGAACACAAATGAAGATATTTTTGATTAAATTTGAGAGCTGTATAACTACCACATTGGCTCCTAAGGGACTGCCTCTTGACGGCCCAGAAAGTCAATGAAGAAAATGTTTAAATATCCCAAGTGACTACCGTGGCTCAACTATATGTTTATCAAGCGACGCGAATACTTTTTGTGCGAAAAAACAAACAAAAATAACGAGTTTATTCGGCTATTTCTTTTCTTCCTTGTAGGCCAGAAACGAGATTTCCATAGATTTCCACGACGCATGCGCGAGAATTGCGATACTTCAGATCGCAATTCTCACGCATGCGTCGTGGAGTCACTTGGGATATTTAAACATTTTCTTCATTGACTTTCTGGGCCGTCAAGAGGCAGTCCCTTAGGAGCCAATGTGGTAGTTATACAGCTCTCAAATTTAATCAAAAATATCTTCATTTGTGTTCCGAAGACGAACGAAGGTCTTACGGGGTTGGTACAGCATGGGGGTGAGTAATTAATGACTTAATTTTCATTTTTGGGTGAACTAACCCTTTAACTTTAGTATTTGACACTTCTCTGTAAGAAGGCACAGTGATGTGATGTCACCTGTTCCTTGAAATATAAAGACACAAAATGAACAAAACAAACATTTCTAACAAGGCACAGAAGGTTCAGTCGTGTATGGCTCGTTCACACTGGATGCTTAATTGTTTGTCTACTTATATTTACACGTGTGTCAGACAGACTTTGGCTGCTGTGCACCATAACCCCGGATTTCCACCAACTGCCGTCGGCTCCGCCGTCCTTCAATACCTACCAGATGTACGCATTCTAATCCCAAGGCGTAACCGACAATTTTGACTGTGCTTCAACATCCGATGCTTTAGGCACCCTTTAGCGTCAGTTACATGACACGATCCTAGGGCGTCATTTAACTGATGATTTACCACTTATCTGGTCTGGGGTAGGGTTAGTGTTAGACGCGACCTCTACCTGATGCATGGTCAAAATGCTTCCCAAGGCGTCGGTTAGATGACGCCTTGGGATGAGAATGGGCTGACTAGATACAGATTTTTTGTGGAACGGCTGCAGGCATGACTGACAGCTGAAGTCACGAGGACACACGGTATCTCGCAAATTTACATTTGATCGCGCGATATAACAGGATGTAGTTTCTATAAACAGAACCACAAAATCAGCAATAGTTTGTTTCCATCTAGAGAAGCACAGGGGACTAGCCTATGTGTACCTGCTGATCTCCCTTTTTTGTGGTAATTATTGTGATTCTAGTACAATATTTAAAATTAACTAATCGACTTTTAAAATGCTAAATGTTTATTTGGGTTCCTTTTTGAATGTATTGTGAAAGTAGGTTGTGTAAATAAAGTTAACTATTGTTCTTGTTGGAAAAGGGAAAACTATATTTTTATTTTGGAAATTACCGAATGTTTTATTTAGTTTCTGTGCTCGACTTCCTGCGGCGCTCTCCGGCATCCGGCGAAAATAGAAACTCTGCGTATCTGGGCTGCGGTCTCCAGAGCTGGGACGGAGTCGGAACGCACGCAGCCGTTCCGCAATCAGTGAAAATGCACACTTTGACTTTAGCGGAAACCTATTTACTCTGCCGCCGTTCCTGAGCGGATCTGCAGCCCTTCCGCTGTTGGTGGAAATTCGGGATAAGCTTGCCATGTCAAAGTAAAACTACCAGGTGTTTCTGAACGCATCTCCTGTGTGAACCGACCATTCAGTAACACAAATATAACGTTGCTTTTGTTTGGCCTTCAGAAGTTGTGAAACTCAGTCAACATAGTGTTTAAATGTTAAAGGTGCTGCAAGTGATTTCAGGAGCTTTATTGACTTCAACCACGCACACCCTCTGTGTCAAACCCCGCCCACTAAAAGATATACACGCCCTCTGTGTCAAACCCCGCCCCCTAAAAGATACACACGCCCTCTGTGTCAAACACCACCCACTAAAAGATACACACGCCTTCTGTGTCAAACCCCGCCCCCTAAAAGATACACACGCCCTCTGTGTCAAACACCACCCACTAAAAGATACACACGCCTTCTGTGTCAAACCCCGCCTACTAAAAGATACACACGCCTTCTGTGTCAAACCCCGCCCCCTAAAAGATATACACGCCCTCTGTGTCAAACACCACCCACTAAAAGATACACACGCCTTCTGTGTCAAACCCCGCCTACTAAAAGATACACATGCCGTCTGTGTCAAACCCCGCCCCCTAAAAGATACACACGCCCTGTGTGTCAAACCACGCCCACTAAAAGATACACATGGCCTCTGTATCAAACTCCGCCCACTAACACACACACATACACTTGTCCAGAGCGAGAGGACGGAGAGGGACAGCGAGAGTAGTGTGTGTGTGTGTGTGTGTGTGTGTGTGTGAACCTCCTAAAAATCACTTACAGCAGCTTCAGTGTTGCTTAAAGTGTTTAAATATGTAACTAAACAAAGGACCCTGAAGTGTGTGTGTATAGACACTCTTCAACGGGTTCATCAAGATGCCCGTTTCCAATCGGCTTTAGTCCTGAGGAAGAGTCAGTGTGTGACTGACACACACCACTCAACAAACTACTGATAGTGCTTGTTAGACAGCATCTGTGACCACATACACACACATACTCCGACACACACTCTCCCACACACACTCCAATACACACACACACACACACACACACACTCTTCAGCAGTTTAGGACTTGTCCACGGATGTCATGCCGATAAACATTCCATTCTTCTCGTCTTGATCGTCCACTTTGCCACTCACAGGTGCATATGATGTGTCTTTCTTTGCGGATGGCTAAAAATAAGAAAGAAAAACAATGATTAGATAGTATGTGATGTATGTGTGTGTGTGTGTGTGTGTTATCAGTCTAAAACAAACAATGCAAGGTCAAGAACACAAACACTTGGCCAGCATCATGTGATTAACCAGGAGATTTAGTTCAAGCTGAAGTAAAGCCTGATTCACACATCTGAGTATTTACATTAATAAATGCATATACATATTCATACCCTTGCTTATGAGTCTGACCCAGGAGAGGACTAGATCCTGCTCATGCTCTACATCAAAAAACATGTATATGTTATACTTATTGTTGAATGTGTCAAAGTCATCATTTCATTATAATATAATACTGTTTTGATCTCCTTGCTGTAGTTATTATTTAGTTATTATTGATTTTTGGTGAATTGTAATAAAACCAGATAAGTTTGACCCAAAAACTTCATAATAATGCTTCATTATAATAATAGTAAACGAGAAATGAATGATAGAAATGAATATGCACCACAGACGTGAACTAGCAGTGTTAAGTGTAAGATGGTTAATGAGTGTGTGAACTTACAGGAGCACAGCGGAAAGCCTCAGCGAAATCAAAATGCTTCACTTCAGTCTAAATAAAAGCAGATCAGCACAAAATGTGTTCATTTGCTCAGGTTAGACATGCAATATCAATAAGCAAAATTGCACAGCATTGTTACAAGGTTAGTGATTAGATCTGGAAAGCAGGATGTGGTTTGTTAGCAACTTGCGATTGATTTAAGACAGGAAACAGCATCACACAAACCACAGAGTCAGATAAACCACAGTCTAGATACAAGCTGCTAGTCATTTAAGTCTGTCATATAGGCTATAAAATTATAAATAGAACATTATAATTGTATTTTTGGGACATGGATTTTAATGGTGAGACTTTTGTTTTTGTAATCAGGCTCTCAAAAATTATATACAAATCTGGATTTAGATTTATCGGCCAATTGGTAATCGGCTTACAAATATAAAGAATTATCGGTTAAGAATTACCGGTTATCGACTTACAAATATAAAGAATTATCGGTTATCGGCCAACAAATATAAAGAATTATCGCTTATTGGCTTACAAATATAAAGAATTAGCGATAATCGGCTTACAAATATAAAGAATTAGCGGTTATAGGCTTAAATATGTAAAGAATTATTGGTTATAGGCTTATAAATATTAAGAATTATTGGTTAAGAATTATCAGTTATCGGCTTACAAATATAAAGAATTATCGGTTATCGGCTTACAAATATAAAGAATTATCGGTTATCGGCTTACAAATATAAAGAATTATCGGTTATCGGCGTGCAAATATAAAGAATTATCGGTCATTGGCTTACAAATATAAAGAATTAGCGGTTGTAGGCTTAGAAATATAACGAATTATCGGTTATACGCTTACAAATATAAAGAATTATCGGTTATATGCTTACAAATGTAAAGAATTATCGGTTATACGCTTAAAAATTTAAATAATTATAGGTTATCAGCTTTCAAATATAAATAATTCTAGGTTATCGGCTTACAAATTTAAAGAATTATCGGTTATCGGGTTTCAAACAAAGAATGTTTTTTTTAAACATCACCAGCTACTTATTTATTATAATCAAAGAAAGTGCAAAATAATAAATAGAATGTTTCCTTAACTCTTAAATGCATGACTTGGGTCTTTAGTGTCCCGGGATGTCACCCTCTTTCTTGTTAAGTTAAACTTTAGTATTTCTCAATCTATTTATTGTAAACAATCGAGCAAGAATTTATTTAATAAAAAAACTGTCTGTTTTCTGTTTTTTTTTTAAGTTTACAGGGTCACTGTTGACCTGAGGTATGTAATAGTGTTTTTTCTTCTGCGCAACAATATCTAGAATCTCTGATAATTCAATAAGGGTAATTCACCTTTATTGTGATGTTTTATGGACATGAATTATATGGCATGATATTTCACTCAAGTTCACTCTGGTGAAGAAGCTGTCAGCGACCAAAATATTGATTTTGAAGGTGCTGAAAATTATAGATTTGAGAATACGGTTGAGATGGCGAATATGAGCCAAATGAGCTCTGACGAGGAAAGTGATGATGGTGAAAAACATCTGCTCAAATTGAACCCTTCCGAGCTCCAAAAAGCAAAATATGCTTTATTTTATTCTTTTGTAATTGTTATAAAAATATGAGTAGAGTTTTATACTATTGCAGCAGTTAGAGATCCATCTGTGTTTGGTATAGATCTGGGTCACTAAAGACCCAAATACATAATAATGCTTGGTGAAACATTCATGCATTTAAAGATTAAAGTTTTTTTCATAAGTTTACATAACCAAGAGCTTTTGAACTTCCAGACAAAGAACATATTTTTGAGTTAATGTCACACCAATTCCACAGATTCTCTCAAACGCCACACATCGATTCATAAAGGTCGTTGTGGAAGAATAGTGTTCTGTTTCCACAACAAACACACATAAATATTTGTGGAATGATTTGGCACAAAAATTAGTGTAACATGTGGAAGAAATTTAATATGTTCCTTATGTTGGCATTTAATTATATTTATAGAATCTGAGAAATATGATGGTAATTAGATTAATGTAGTGTCGATTCACAGCAGGTGAATGTGTGTGTGTGTGTGTCTGACCTCAGTGTGTTTCCCTAATGTCCGCCACAGTGACCCTCAGTAATGCGTGTGTGTGTGTGTGTGTGTGTGTTTATGTATGTTAAAACACTGTGGTATCAAGTGTTCACAGATACTCTAATCTGTTTACTTGTACAATTCATTTAATTTGAACATTTAAATTTAATTTATGTTATAATATTTGACTATTATGATATCTTTACAATTCTATGTATTCTGATCTTTGGCAATATTGTAATATACTGTTTAGTCATGCCAATAAAGCTATTTAAATTGAATTGAATTGACAGAAGGTCTCCATTCAAGGGTGTAATATGACTAAATATATTAGAAAAACTAAACACTGTGTTGGTTAAGCCTAAATCTTTATTTAGCCTCAAGAAACAACCTTGGGGGAGGAACAACTATAAAGAAGGAAGGATGCCGCAACTCGTTGTCACACTCTGCAGGCACTTTGTAATGACTGTATGACTGTTGAGCTTTTCTTGCAAGGGAATAAATCATTGTTAAACACGATTGTTACATGTTTGTCTCTTATTCAGTGATGTAAAACTGTTTGCCGCCACAATTTGGCGTTGTCGACAGGATTCCTTGGGCCCGAGAGCGGACGGTGTTCGGCCACCTGGACAGCACTGGAATCATCAAAAAAACTGAAGTAGCGTAAGATCGTTTGCCACCACACACGATGCAGCTAGCCTGGCTAACGTCAGACCATGTCTTATTAAGATTGAGATGTGATCTGGGAACCACCAACCCGATCTCACGACCAAGTCGTACGAATTCGACGAATGATTAAAAAGTGGCTAATTCGTAACAATTCAAACGACCTCACTCGTACGAATTAATACGATTTTGCTAAATCGTACATATTTTACGAATTGGCCAATTCGTATGAATTCGTGCGAATGACCTACCCCTTACCCCGCCCCTAAACCTAACCATCACGTGGGTTTAGACAAATCGTACGAATTAGTACGAGTGAGGTCGTACGAATTAGTACGAATTAGCCACTTTTTAATCATGGATCGAATTCGTACGAATTGGTCGTGAGATAGTGTTGGAACCACATGTTCAATTTCTCATATTTGAGTCGTGGTTTACTTATGCCCAGAGCCGTTTATTAGGTGCTACGAATGTCTATCAAATGCGCCTGTACGTAGCTCATAGCCAATCGTTTCACTTATACCAGATGACATATGTAAAGCGACAGAAATTAGACAAGGAAGAAGACAATGGGTCAGAGATTTATGTGCACACGATGGCGTATCTAATCTGCATCGAAAGGTAACTTTGCGTCTGCTGCCATGTTGGATCCATAGGTATAAACAAACTGCTTATATGTTTCGCATAGACGTCGTCATTGTCTTGCTGCTCCCTCCCCTTTCTGTGATTGGTCCCTTCACTGAGGCAAAAATCTGGTCCATGGTATCCAGACTGAGTAGCAGCATGAATAAAATTGCGCTGCACAAAGGCAGTATGGGGAAACCCAAGCTACGACGCAGCTTTAGTTTGTGTGAACCGCACTGACAGCCAATGATTTGGTGGGAAAGTGAAGAATAATCAGGAGAAATACTTGTGATTCTACTGCTTAGTTTCAACACTTCATTACCTTGTTTTGATAGAAGCGTATGGCCAGGATGATAGAGACTAAGAGTAGGATGACTCCCAGAGCGATGATGATAAGAGGAAAATGAGAGACTAGAGTCACGATTAGCAGAAGCTTCTGAATCCTCGCAGCCGAAGCATCGTCAATAACCACCGACTGTAAAACAAATCATGAAAACACGCATGAAATACGATATTCAGCTGTATTGGCTGATTAAATCATCCCACCGACTCTCACCTCGTTCACAAACACGATGGGGAAGATAGTGCCGTTGAGACTCTTGGTCATACTGTGGAAACAGAGAGATAAAGACCTTCAGCTTTATATAAACAAACACGCCTGTTTATCAGAACGCCATGATTAAATATAACAGACAGGAAAACATCACTCACGGAAAGCCAGATATTCTGTCGAGATGAATGTTGATCTGAGCTCTTTTCATGGCACGAACGGGCATTCCCATAGTCTGGCACAGGAGAAGAAGTCAAGATCTGAGTCAGATTGCAGTTAACACGCTAATTGCACAGGAACAAATTCATCATAGAAAGAGGCACAGATCACGTTTTCCGCATAACTCTGGAATAGCCTTCCTGAATCTGGTAAAGACACATTTCATGATTTATGATCATTAACTGCAATCAGTATAGGCCTACCTCATGTTTCTTCATTGGAATGCTTGGCTGTTTAACTCTCTGGCTTTCAACCATTGATAATTTTAACACTCCATAGGCCACCTAAGCCATCTGATCTCTTCTTAACTGAATTTTCTAAATTAAGGACTTCACTTTGTCCATTCTCCCAATATATTATTTGTTGGTGATTTTAATATTCATGTTGATGCCACTACTACTTGTTCCCATGGTGCTGATTTTATGTCATTACTTGATGGTCCTGATGTCATTCAAAATGTATCTTTTCCCACTCACAACAGTGGGATAAACACCAACGAACCATAGCCTTTGGAAATATAAAACACATTAACTCATCTGATCTTATGAGCTTCATAAATACATAAATACATACTCGACCACTGAGTCCCTCTGTCCCCTCAACCTCATCACTCATTATAATGACTGCCTAGCCTCCTCCTTGGATGCCCTTGCTCCCACTAAAACTCGTTCTATCTCCTTCAACCGCTCGGCTCCTCCGCCAATTAAAAAACACGTGTGAGATGCCTTGAGTGCCTGTATAAAGGGACATGCCAAGTATCTTATGCACACATTCCTACAAATATCACCTGTAACAATATAATAACACTCTTTTTATGCTACCAGACTTATAACATTATAAACTCAATTCTAAGCTCCTGTTTTCCACAGTTAAAGCCTCCTGATGACGTCTTTTCTAAACTTCTAAACTTCTTTCATGCACAAATTCAAGACATTCATCACCATCTACTTAATATTCCAAGCACTCCAGTTCATAGCCTGTCCGACACAACTACCTTACAGGGCTACCTCCCTTTCAAACTTCACATTGGCTTTGGAGAACCTGATTGCAGAGCTTGTCATTAAATCAAAAACATCCACTTCCCAATTAGACCCCCTGCCTACCAGTCTTCTCAAAGCATGCCTGCCTTTACAGTAATCTCTGCCTTAGTAGTATCGCCCACTCTTAAGACTGCTGCTGTCACTCCCGTCCTCAAAAAGCCCAATGCTGATCCTGATGATTTGAACAACTACCGTCCCATCTCCAACCTTCCACTTGTCTCCAAGATAATGGAGAGGGTCGTGGCCAATCAACTACATCAACATCTCAACTACAATGACCTGTATAAACATTTCCAGTCTGGTTTGGAGACAACATTGGTGAAAATCACCAACAACCTACTCTGTGCAGATGACTCTGGTCTACTGTCCATTCTTATCTTAAGCCAAGATCACACTACATGATTTTAAGCCCGATTTGCAAATCGTTGAGCTCGCTGACAGGTGGGTGTTATCGCGTGCAAATCGCGGGGGATTAGCGGACGATGAACGCTCGCCAATCTGTTAGTATGAAAGAGCCAACAACACAGCGAAAACGCTCGCAGACCAGAGCCCAGAAAAATATCCATAGACAGTAAAAGAAATGGACAGAGCGATCTCATTGGAACTCCATTGAGACGATTGAAGCCCGTTTTTGGCGATTTTTTAGCACTTCCGTCCCTGATGCGCAGACTCAAACAGAGCTTGACTACGTAATGTGATGAGAGCAACCCGTCTATCTTCTAGTGCTGTGGCATGAGAAATCTGAATCATTCTCTTCCGAAACATGCAGAGGCGGAGAGTGTGAGTAGGAGCTGTCCATGAGCTAGGAGAAGGAGACAATTCTGCTAGGTATTCTGATTAATTATTTTGCCTCCACGTTTCCCCGATTGCGCGCGAGCTTCTTCTCCTGTCCATACGGTAATCTCTCTCCTGTGCGACAGAGAGTCGTGTGGGTATGACGCAATCGTTAGCTTACTTTCACTAAAATTGCTTCTACTGGGCCATAACATAAGCTACACTGTAATTGTCACAGTCTGCGTCTGCACCATCCTGTCTGCGTCTCCTGCACTACACTTCCCATGATCCTGTCGTCTGCACACCTGAACTCACTTCCTCATCAGCCTCACGTTCAGCGTCCTGTTTCACCTGTTTGCACCTCATTAGGCCTGATCCCTCTGTGTATTTAGTTCCCTCTGTTTCATTCTGTCTTTGTCGGTCAATGTGTATGTTACTCTGTGTTCTGCCTGCCTGTATCCCGATTTACTTAAGAGTAAACCTTTTGTATTGGAGCTTTTTGGACTCTGCTTGTTCTTCTGCCTGCCCGTGACAGTAATGGAGCATTTTATACATTGTCGTGTTTCTTTAGAAATAAATAAAGGACAAATGGGGTCTTCAAACGCCTCAGATGTAAAGTTATTCGCTGTCAAAGTGACGCCAAAATGAACGGGAGTCGATGGGAATGCTAACGCAAGTGAAGTTCTGCTACAAGATGGCAACTCCCGCGAGGCTTCAACCTCCGGTCGATGGATTACCCCCTTGAAAATATCCAGCCTACTAGATATCCAGAGCCGTCGCGTGACTCAACCTCAGTGATGTCATGAGTACAGCCAATCATAGCAACGCATGGATTGAGGACACCAGGTAAATCTTAGTTTTCCTTTTCTTTTTTGCATTTTTTTTCTCAGAGCAGATCGTCGCGCAAACAGTGTGCAGCACTAGTTTCTGTCTGACGTCCATATTCAGGTGTTGTGTTCTCTTCTTCGCTGGGTATTGGCGCACGTGCAGTTTCGCGTCATTTCAGGATCGTTTTCTTATTGCTTGTTTTTTGTGACAAAATGAAGTTTTATTAACTAAGTTCGGGAGGAGCACGTTCAGATAATTGACACGAGTGGACAGCAATCAGCAATCAATGATAAGAGGGTACAAATAGACTCAGCAGTCTTACCTCGATCCATTAACAGTTTGCAGCATCCCTCCTCCACCCCTTCTCCACACTCCTAGTTCTCCACACTCCTCTTTCTAAAAATCACTTACATACGGGGGGAGTACTCTGGGTTCGGGCTGAATTCCGAGCTCGGAGCCCTCCCTCCGGACAGCACGCCAAATACGCATTGAATCTTACCCACTCAAATTATATGTAAGTGTGAACTCGTGAAACATGGTTTGACAAGATAGAATCGTCGGGTGACAGAGTTGTTGTCAACTCGTTATTTATTTGATTATTTTCAGGATTTAGACCGTACCATAGTACTGAAACAGCTCTCATTAGAGTCAAAAATGATTTGCTCTTATAATTCGATCGTGGTTGTATCTCTATGTAGTGCGTTGTCAACTCGTGTAGTGAGTTACCTCCTGTTGTGGATCAATCACGTTGTGTTGTGTGGTGTGAACAGCTAAACAACTTGAACACTCCTGATTTCACTGAGAGCAAGTCATGTAGTGTGAACCGCACAGTTCAGCCCGACGTTTTAAAATCATGTAGTGTGAACAAGGCTTTACTCGAACGGAGTGCTGCCTTGACACCATCTCACACCCCTCCTCATTGAACATCTGGCCAACATTGGTATCATAGGGGGTGCACTCTCTTGGTTTTGTTCTTACCTCACGGATGGTCAACAGTTTGTACAACTCATATAAATCGGCCTGTGCGACTGTGCCGCAGGGTGTCCCCCAGGGATCAGTGTTGGGTCCTCTTCATTATCCTGTATACCTCCTTCCCCTGGGCAAGATCATGAGACACCACAAAATATACTTCCACTGCTGTGCTGACGACACCCAGCTCTATCTCTCAACTAAACCTTCATCTTCCCTTCCTTCCACCTCACTCAGCAACTTCCTTCAAGACATTCAAAAATGCCAATATTTTCAACTTAATTCCTTTGTCACGTCACGTCTGAATAACTCCCTTCTCATCGGTATCCCTAGTAAGCTGACAAACAGACTCCAACTGTTTATCAGCTGGAGTCAAGACAACGCATAGGACTTAAGGTGACAGCAGCCTAACATTTCTGCTGCTGTCTTTGTTTTTAATGTTACTCAATTTGAATTGAATGGAGAATCTGTTTCAAAGTGTCTGAAGGGTGAGTGGATCTGATGATGGATCAGCTGGTGTTTCACTTACAGGGTTCAGATCCAGAAAGGCCTGATGATGCTCGTGGACAGGAGAAATACCCTCGATGGCATTGGCGTACTTCTCATCACCCAGATGAAAGTGAGGGAAAGACATGACTACAGGAGCACCTGTAACACACGCCAACAACATTGTGAAGCTCACAGAACCGCCATTTACTACATTCATGCATTCGTCCAAAGTGACATGCATTGCATTCAAGGCATACATATGAGCAGTTTATGCATTCCCAGGGACCCCAAAATCAAAAGACACAAAATAAATTGCATTTCTCAAGCATGTATTGTATGCAGGGTCTAAAATAAACACTCACCAAGCGTCAAATGAGAGTAAAAAATGTGTTTATGAAACGGTGTCAATCGCCTGTTGGTCGATAACTTTTTATTAGTGCCGGGCAGTGATTAATCGCATCCAAGATAAAAGTTTGTGTTTACATAATACATGTGTACTGTGTATAATTATTTTGTATATATAAATACACACATACATAAAGTATATACTGTATATTTATACATAATTCATATTATACATAAATATTAATATTTTATACATGAATAATATTTTTTTTCTTAATGCTTAAGTGTGTATTTATATATACAATTAATTATACACAATACACACACATACAGTATATTATGTAAATGTGAACTTTTATTTTGGATGCAAATACATCATTGCCCAGCACTACTTTTTATGAAATCTAATCTAATGAAAGGCAATTTTTTTATGAGAACATGAATGTAAAAAAACGTCATTGATAGTCGGCACAGTTGACCGACCAGTGCTGCATCATCACGAAAGTTTAAGCTCTGCCAATTTAAATATTGCAGTGCAAGAACACGCAAAAGAGAAATCAATTAGTTAGTGCAGGAATACTGCATCAAGCTCTGTTTCACGTCTTCTTGCGCTTGAACAGACTATTTCATAGAGTTGGGTCCGAGTCCACCTTAGTCGAGTCCGAGTCGAGTCCAAGTCATTAACAATCGAGTCCAAGTCCAAGTCCGAGTCCAAAGAGGGCCGAGTCGGACTTGAGTCCCCATCCGAGTCCGAGTCGAGTCCGGCCGAGTCCAAAAAGATTTAAATGATTTGAAATTGACTTTTTACAAAGACCCGCCCTTCTTAGTTACTGTTGCTATGTCCCACAAGCCATTCCACTCTCACTCCACATGTTTTCACACAGTGAAAAATATATTGAGGAGCAAAGAGAAAAAGGTATTTGCAAAGTAATGCTCAAGAATGCAACACGATGCATTAAGAGCCAGGGTGCCCTTTTGAGAAAGATGATGGTGATGTTTACATTTTTATTATTTTGTTTTACATGCTAATATCTTTTTTAGCCTCTGAAGGGCAGGACTAAATTAATTAATTATTTTTTTAACAATTTACACCAATTCCATCCTTAACGGATGCTTCCTTCTTGAACATCACTAAATATTTGCAATGTTTGTATGAGTCCCTCACTTGTCACCAGTGTGAAAAGATGGATCTCACTGTCACTGCTAGTAAGGAGTCAAATATGCAGAAGATGCTGGAAAAGCAAAGAATGTGCCGGAGCTGGAGGATTTTTCCTCATGAACAACCTTTACAAAAAAAAAAAAAAAAAAAAAAAACTTTTGTGGATCACTCTGGTAATGACACAATATTAAAATCAAGTAATTTGTCTTGTGTTTTGTCTTGTGGACTAGGCCATTAAACATCTGTAATGTGAAAAAGCTTTTTCAGTGCAGTACTGAATAGAAACAATGTTTTTATGATCCTTCCTATTAACAAAAAAGAAAAAATACATTTTGGAGATTCTGAAAGGTGTATGTAAACTTATGACTAAAGTGTAACTGTAACAAAAATCATACAATTATTACTCGCCAAAATGTTGCTATGTTTATCGCGTTCTCATGTTGCTATGGTTACTGTCAATCATCGCAGTTTCATGACTCACAGGAATAGACTTTAGCGGATTCACTCCCACATTTAAATGCATTTATGACTGTTTTTGATTTACATTGTGAACGTAACCACTGGTGCTCTAGAAGCACGAAAAACAAAATTATTATTTAGATTGTCAATTGCGCTCCCTTTAAAGGTTCTCTAAGCGATGTGGGGCCAAAACATTTTTTGTCACATACATCAAACGTCTCCTCACTATCGGCTAGCTGCCTGTCCCTTAAACACACTGTAAAAAAACGCGGTCTCTGTAGACACCACAGGCTCCACAAACGGCAACAAAAACACTCATGTCTCACCCGGACCACGAAACCTAACTAACAGTGTTCCAGCCAATCACTAGCAAGAAGTATTTGAGGGTGGGACTGGGGGGTTAGTGCGCGTGCACATGAAGGGTGTGTGTGTGTGAAGAAGCGAGAATTGAAATTGAAATTGAATTGAATTGAATTGAAAGCCTTTATTGTCATTGTACACAGTACAATGAGATTTGGAGAGCAACTCTCTAAAAGTGCACACATACATACATTAGTGCAAGTCTGAGTGTAGGTTGAGTATGGTGACAGCTTTAGGGAAGAAGCTATCCCTGAGTCTGTTTGTTCTGGCCCGTATTGACCTGAAGCGCCTGCCTGAGGGCAACAGGTTAAAGAGATGGCAGCCTGGGTGGGTGGTGTCCCTCAGGATGTTTCTAGCCCTGCTGAGACAACGAGAGTTGTAGATGGCAGTCAAAGAGGGCAGAGGGCAGCCAATTATTTTTTGCGCAGTGTTTGTCACCCTCGGCAGTCGCTTCCTGTCGGCCTCCGTGCAGCTGGAGTGCCACACTGTCACAGCATAGGTCAACAGGCTCTCGATGGTGGAACGGTAGAAGGTCACCAGCAGCTGAGTTTTTAGTTGTTCCTTCCTGAGGACCCTCAGGAAGTGTAGCCGCTGCTGGGCCTTCTTGACCAGAGCTGTGGTGTTGGCCGACCAGGTGAGGTCTGCAGAGATGTGAATGCCGAGGAATTTGAAGGACTCCACTCGCTCTACACATCTGCCGTTGATGTACAGGGGGGCAGGAGCGGCTTTGTTCCGCCTGAAGTCCAGGATGAGTTCCTTGGTCTTGTTGATGTTTAGTGCCAGGTTGTTTGATGCACACCACTCGCTAAGTTTCAGGACCTCATCTGTGTAGGCCGCCTCGTTTCCCCCTGTAATCAGCCCCACCACCGTTGTATCATCAGCGAACTTGATGATGATGTTCTCTGGGTGGGCGGGACTGCAGTCGGATGTGTATAGAGAGTAGAGTAATGGGCTCAGCACGCAGCCCTATGGAGAGCCAGTGCTAAGAGTGCGGGAAGAAGAGAGGTGAGGACCCAGTTTCACCTGCTGGGGTCGGTTGACCAAAAAGTTCTTGATCCATCGCTTAGACAACCTTTAAGCCAGGTGACTCAGCGCTGAGTGGAGAGCGATGGCTATGGCGTCTTCGGTGGATCTGTTAGTCCGATACGCAAACTGATGCGGATCCAGTGTGGAAGGTAGACAGGCTTTGATGTGTTTCAAAACCAGTTTCTCTAAACATTTGGTGATAACTGGGGTGAGTGCTATGGGGCGAAAATCATTGAGGCTGGTCGTGGGTGACTTTTTAGGGATCGGGATGATTATAGCAGACTTCAAGCAGGGTGGAATGACAGCTTGTTCCAGAGACAGGTTTAAGATGTCTGTAAAGACCTGTGATAGCTGCCAAGCACATGCCTTGAGCAGCTTCCCAGGTACTCCATCTGGGCCAGCAGCCTTTCTGGGGTTCACTGCACAGAGCGCCCGCCACACATCCTGTGCGTCAAGAGTAAGTGGGGGGGAGGGGTGCTGGGGAGCTAGTTGGGGTTGTGATGGTTGTTGGAGTGATGAGACTGGATGCTGTGTTTGAGACTCAAAGCGGGCAAAGAAGCTGTTCAGCTCCTCTGCCAGTCCCGCATCCAAATTCCCGGGTGTCACAGCACAGCCTCTGTAGTTAGTGATGGTCTGTATGCCCCGCCACACTTGTCTGGGGTTGTTGAGCTGTTCCTCTATCCTCCTCTTATATTCGACTTTAGCAGTCCTAATGCCTCTCCTCAGGTTGGCACGAGCGGCGCTGTACGATGATCTGTCACCTGACCTGAAGGCTGAGTCACGGGCCCGGAGGAGCATGCGGACCTGGCGCGTCATCCAGGGTTTCTGGTTTGAGGACACCCAGAGAAGAGGGATGTTTGAAAAATGGCCGACACACGACCAAAGAGACGTCGTTCTGAAGAACAAATTAAAAAGAAGTAGGAGTCGGATAAAGAACGTGCGAAGTTCCGAATTTACATCGGTAGCAAAGCTTTTGAACGATGGCGAGAACTCCGGCGGCAGAAGGGCTTCCAGTCCGACATTCAGGTTGCTCTGTTTTTTCTGGACAGGTGGGTAACGGTAAATTGTTTTTTTTTTCTTCTAAATTGACGCTTATGTTCGCCAAACCCACACAAGGATATAATTAGCTAGAACTATGCAGTCAGCCGTTCACAATTATTTCAGGAAGGACGGAAGGGAGGGGGAGGAGATGAGATGCCGAGGAGGGAGGGTCTAGCTAGCCTCCGATTTGTTTGAAAATATTCCGAATGTCAACACCCAGGATCGCTTAGACAACCTTTAAGCCATCACTTACCGCGTTCTGCACACTCCCTAAAACTCGTCATATACTGAAGTTATCCGCACTGCACAGTGAATCTCTCATTTATATCGCGTCTAGACTTTGTTTGAGGGGATTTGCAAAAGGATAAATCTCGTGCTGATTCTGAACATGCATTTTGAGCGAATTGCATGTTGACTCTAAAATGCCTCTGATTTGCTCACTGCGTTCATGCGCTTAATATACATGTCTGTGATTGGCTACAATGCTAAACGCGGACACAACACAAGTAGTTTCTTTTCCTTTTTGAATAATGTGTCCTCCAGTGTCCGGACTCGACTGGACTCCAGGCCCGTCGCCAAGGGGGGGGGCATTGGGGGGCAGTGCCCCCCCAAACGACTTACTGTGCCCACCTACGCATGAGCTTGACAATAGATGTAAATATGTATGCTAATAATAATTACGTCGAACAGAGCTCGGTCTTTCTGCATAACTTATCTCACAGGAACGGTAAGCTCTACAACGGTAGGAGGAATGTATAATACATTATCTTCAGAAATGATTTAGAAATTCATTATTCAACGCATTATTACACAGAACGTAACTTGAAATATAATTATTTTCATAAATGACTGTTAAAACATCCCAAAACAGCACCCAAACCTTGCAAAGACCTACCTAATTAATTATTCACATTCAACAGCCAATGGCAAGTCTCCAGCAGCAGACCTTTCAATTTGTTATTTTTGTGTTAGTATTTTTACTTCTTCAAATTACAATATGCAGTTTGTGTTTAAGGATAAATAAATAATATAAACAATGCAATTTATTTAGTTAAGCATACAGTATTGTTTATACGTAATTCCTTTGCGCAGCTGCGCAGTGCATGCGATCGGAGAATCAAATTCTGGTGGTTTTGTACATAGTCTATGGTTTTGTACGCCTACAGCAAAGCTTATGCTAAGTGGTTTAAAGTTTCGTCGTTGACAAAGACGACTTTTGACCAACAACAACGTGCGTGGAAACGACTCTGGAGCTAATTAGATGGTAGGAACAGACAGTATAAGAAAGGTAAGAATAGAGAATTTGTCTGCTAACTTACATTGCTAAATTTGTATTGCAGTATGTTATGCATTGCTTTTATTATTGCTGTATTGTTGGTGGAAACCAGGTGCTTTTGTGACTCATTTTTATGAAGTGTAGAGTCATAAATCAATTTGGTTTTTTGGCGTAGTTTTACTTAGTTTGGACTTTGGACTAATGATATTACGTTGATTGCGCCTTTTACTCAAGAAAGCCACTAGGTGGCACTGTGTTGTGTATGTGACGAACTATGCAGATTAACAAAAAATATAGGCTACTAGGCTAGCAAGCTATATGTGCAAATGTTAAGAGAAAATAAACAGAGACGTTGAGATCATACAGTGAAGTATTTTATTTAAATAAAATGAATAAAACAAGACTATTGTGGTCTATTTTAGTTGAAGCCTAATATGGTTGTTGTTTTGGTCTGTCTCAGATCATTAAAAAAAGTGTGCCCCCCTATGAAAATTAAATGCCCCCCCAATTGGTTTGTTCTGGCGACGGCCCTGCTGGACTCAGACATTTTTCCGAGTCTAAAATGTACGAGTCCGTGCCAAGTCCGAGTACAAATTCATTCGAGTGCGTGACAAGTCCGAGTTAGTCCAAGGTAAAACTTTCGAAATCTGTGTAAACACTCTGCGATCACTTCCGGCGGAACGTTGGACACGGTTCAGTTCGGTTCAGTTGGACATCTGATTCAGATCAATTGGACATGGCTGTTAAGAAGAGGTAAAAACAATATAAATACTGTTCGTTTTCTCACACAAACCGCTCGTTTTGTGTCTTGGGCCATCAATGTGTACCTACATTTACGAGTCATTAAATCATGTTTAATTTGGACTTCTCTGTGCATGCTCTTTGACGTGGACCCCCATACCTGCATTATATGACTGACATACAACACCGGTTTGACCGAAAAAATGTCAAAATTGAAATGCCTGTGGAAACAAAGACACCTACATCTTGGATGCCCTTGAGGTAAGCTAAAACATATCAAAAATTGATTTCAAAGTGAACTATCCCTTTAAGTCCTGATTATATGTAAGGATTAAAATTATCACTCACTGAATTAAACAAAGCAATGAATAAACTAAGAAACATTTGGCATTGAATACCAGATACTGCTTTTCATGTTTTCTTCATTCAAAGGTCATTGACCTTGTCAGACAAAGGAGAAGTTATTATGTTGTGTGTGTGTGTGTGTGTGTGTGTGTTCTAACAGCAGAAATGACGTCTCCTCCTCCTCACATTGTCTTAACTATTAGACGACCCCCGTGAGATGTAGTGGATGTTCATCCTGTCGTGACGTTAAAGAATGGAGGAACCTTGTTTCAAGAAAACACTGTGAGCTCTGACCTTGACGATGTGAGTGAGTAACACAGATGGGTTTACCACCGCCTCTGTTCTGAACACTCAAGGGGAACACAACTCCTGTGTTACTGGGACAGAGGTGAGAGTTTTCCAGCCCTCGTGTTTGACAACACACTCTCTCTGTGGGTGTGTGAGCGTATGAGTGTTTGTGCGTGAATGTTTGTGTGTGTGCATGTGCGTGATCCATAAGCAACACGCAATACTTAATCCATTACAGTTTTTCTCAATTGCTTAAACACTACAAGCAGGCTTTTGAGCTAAAATTTCAAAACCATAATGCCATTTATCAAAAAGCACACCCATTTCCCTAAACTATAAACACTATTCCCTGTTTTGACACATGAGTCAGAATTCTTGAACTGTCACTGCAAAACTCTACACACAAATCCCTTAATATTTCATTGCCTAGACCATGTGGTCATTTAGAAAGCACTAGCATTCAATATTGTTCACTCAAGTCAGCATAGTTTCAGCTCAATTAGCACACAATTACCCAGATGAAAACAATTTAACACACATCAATCAGAACTGTCAAGATTCCTAAAAGTGCCAGAGTCAGTTCATCTGAGTTTTGGAACAATGGATCAACAAAGAAATGAAGGAAGAGGTTGAGGAGGGAGCGGAAGAGGACGTGGTGAAGGAGGAGGGAGAGGAGGACGAAGAGGAAGAGGAGGATGTGGTGAAGGACAAGGTAGAAGAGATGGTGGTGGAACAGGAGGAGGAAGAGCAAGGAGACAAGCAGTCTCGGATGAAATTAGTGCCACTTTTGTTGATCATGTTCTTGTCCATAACATGACTATGAGGGAGCCTGACAACGAGTACAGCCTAATTTGAGTCACTTCACCGTCACCTCCATCATCAGAACTTTCAGGGAGAAAAACACGAAAACGGGTGGATCAGTCATGCAAAAGGGCTAGGGCTAATAGCCTTTGATGTGGATGTGATTCCCTGGCCTGACCCAGACCAAAGACAGGAGGCTGAGGTGGAATCATCTTTTTTTTTCTTCTTTTTTTTTTTTTTGTGGTACTGTGTAGTACATGAATGATTAAAAATGTGCCAATGTATCCATTGGTTGTGTCTTTTGTTCATCATGTGAAAAGGTTTGTGAGGAGAGGAACCACAAGTAACATAACTTACCAGTTTTGGAAATGTTGTTTTGAATTTATTGCACCAGTGTGTTAGACTATGTTTTACTGTGTGTTATTTTGAGGGCTTGTGTGTCCTGTCTGAGGGCAAAGTTTGGTTTTTCAGCGAGAGTGAATGGTTTGGAGTGTAGAGTTTCATTTTGACCTGAAAATAGGTTGTTTGGGAAACTGGGTGAGACGTTATGGATTTGTGTTTACTGTTTTGAGAATAAGAGGCATAGTTTCAAGAAATCTGTTTAAGCAATCGAGAAAAACTGTAATACTAACACTAAATCTTCTATTCTATATCTAATATCTTTATAATATATATATATATATATATATATATATATATATACAGTGTACACATATATATACATATATATAAAAAGTGTGTGTGGGTGTGTGTGTTTGTGTGTAAGAGAAAGAGAGAGAGAGTGTGTGTGTGTGTGTTCAGTTATTTCACACACCTGTGATATGCGAGTGCTCGAATGCACCACAGTAATGCTTCTGCTGAAGCTCACATGAGCACAGCGTGACAGAAATAAACACAAACACAGATCTGAGAGGAAGGTCAGCAGGATCTGTGTGTGTGTTTCACTTTACTCTATGGATCAAAATACCCAGAAGTGACTTAAGCATGCTAAAACTTATTCAGAAAAATGTTTGAGCACAACTCGTTTCACGACAGACAGGATGAAACAGCCTAAAAAACTGAGTAAAAAACTCAGAACATTACATTAAACTATTTTAGTAATTAATACAAGAATGCACTTTTCATCTGTCTAAAGCTTTATATACTGTGCAGTACCGGTCAGACGTTTGGATAGTCTCTCCTGCTCATTTATTTGATGAAACATGCAGTAAAAAAAGCAAAATTGTGAAAAAAAAATATTCCAGTGTAAATCATCTGTTTTCTAAGTGAATATATAGTAAAGTGTAATTTATTCTTGTGATCAAAGCTGAATTTTCAGCATCATTACTCCAGTCTTCAGTGTCACATGATCCTTCAGAAATGACTCTAAAACGATGATCTGATGATCAAGAAACATTTATGATTATTATCAATGTTGAACATTTTTTGTGTAAACAGTGATGTTTTTTTTCAGAATTTTTAGATAAAAAGAAAGTTTAAAGAACAGCATTAATTCATTTTTTTTTCAAATGTATTAAAGCATTTATTAAATATTTAAATGCAATTTAATGCATCGTATAAGAATAAAAGAATTATTTTCGCTCTCTCTTTTTTAAACTTACCACAATGTTTGAATTCCATCCCGATTTCCACAAAATGCTAAGCATCAAAAACTCATTTCAACATTGATGATAATCAGAAATAAGCATCAGATCATCATATACGTGATTTCTGAATGTGACACTGAAGACTGGAGTAATGATGCTGAAAATTCAGCTTTTAACACAGGAATAAATTACACTTTACTATATATACACATAGAAAACAGCTGTTATAAATTCTAATAATTTTTTCATAATTTTTACTGTATTTTTGATCAAATAAATGCAGCTTTGGTGAGACTCTTTCAAAAAACTAAAAAAACAAGGTGTATAAATATGAATGTACTGTGTATATATATATATATATATATATATATATATATATATATATATATATTTGGTTTCAAGCACAAGAGACAATAAGCAATTAGTAAATAATACAATTAAATGAAATGACTTATTTTAGTAATTACTTGTATGAGTTAAATGTGTGTAATGGTTCTGCACCTTTGCGGCACACAGACACGTCCAGCACACCGTCGTCCAGGCACTTATTGGGCGTGAGGCAGAAGCCCTCGTTGTCCGGGTTGTTCTTCCCGCTGGCGAGCACGGCTCGAGGAGGAGTGAAGCGGTACGCTGGGATTCCCTTCACCTCCACCTCCTTCTCGAAGCGCATGTGGATCGACCTGCGCACCAGAGACACAACATCAGCACTGTCATCTCCAGATGATCAGATACGGCTCATTGCAATGCGCCAACAATGGAGCTTTTCCTCTGTATTTCCTGATCAAGGCTAGTTTATTTATGCAGCACATTTCATAGACTACGGGAATTCAAAGTGCTTTACAGAAAGGAATTAAAATAATCACAAAATAAAAGCAAGGAAAATTAAAACAGTGATAAAATACATTAAAAGAGTAAAAAGATGATAAACTTCTCATCTGGTGTATCATATTTTTCACAACTCCCAGATTTTTTTAACTCTGAGATTTTCCCAGTGTGATTACACTGTGTGTGGTGTTTCTATGGAGCTAAAAGAGTCTCAATAAAGATAAATGCACACTACATTCACATATGCACACACAGGATTCATAAACACACACACAGGATACACAAATGAGCACAAAATTCACAAATGCACACAAAATTTTTAAAGCACAGAAGATTCACAAATGCATATAAAATTCATAAATATACACACAATTCAGAAATGTATTTCTGATGGATACACAAATATATCTTGATTTACAAACTGCTTGCGGTCTGTGAACTTCATGGCAAATGCCTTTTTTTAAACAGGGAATGATCTGCAACCAATCAGATATCTCCCTTGTTTTAGTCAATCACGTGGGGGATTGTTTACTTATAAGCCAATCACATGAAGCGTCCGGGAGTGTGAGGCCGTTGACTCTGTGCACGAGAAAAATGCTAACTTCCGCCTTGAGGGCGGATGTTGGGTACTTCGGTTCCGGTTGCCGTTGTTTACATCCTACATCAGTGGACCGGCTATCTAAAGCTTAGCTATCTAAATATATTTGTCTAAAACTATGTTCGTTTGTTCATCGTCAAGTCAACCAACACAGTTTTCACTCATATTTGGGTGGAGCCAGGCGCTGCTGCATTGTGAAAAGTAAACGATATTTCACATTTTGTCACTGCACCCAAGCAGTCGCTTTACAGAGTGGAGCGTTGCGTATCCATGACAACTAGAAGGAAGTTTTTAGGCTACTAATTATTTATTATATTATACCCTTTAACCAAGAGAAGCCCCTGGGTTTAGAACCTATTTTGCAAGGGAGACCTGTTTAGAAATATGTGTGAACAGCCTAATATGTGTTAAACAGCCTAACTTGATAACGAACGAACCAACGTCGGATACCTTTACTCCCTGTATGACATGTAGCTGGTTGTCAACACTGATCTATATGACATTCTATATAGATAGTGGTTGTCAACAACATAGCCTCTGAACATCATAAACAAAACAATGGCCAACACAAACTGTTCTGGAAAATGCACTTTCTAACGCATGATTTCGCATTTTATAATGTATAGAGAGATATAACAGTTACCAAATCGCATAGCTTGAGCACGTAGCATGGCAACATTAATGTCCGAGTGATTCCACGTGTACCGCGTATGTACATGCCGTGAAATGTCCGAGCGAAACAAAACAAAATGTAGATCTACATCTGGGGAGCGATATTTATTTTTTCCTAGGATGGTAGGAGTGACGGGTAGGTTGGGGTTGAGGTAGGTCATATGCTATATATATATATATATATATATACACTGTGTATAATATATATATATATATATATATATATATATACAATAATAACGTTAAGTCAACGGTATTCATAAACACGCTGAAAAGAGATTATGCGTGTTGATAGCATGCCAAAAATACGTGATACGTGTCATACATACGCAATTTCATGAGATCAGTCTGAGCATGGATGTTGTTGTGACTTAACGTTCCCTTCAAAATGATGCAAATACTGAGAAATGTAATATTTAAACCCCTTCTCTCTTGCTCTGGGGAGCTGGAGGAAAATCATTAGCCAGTCGATGAACATAATCGACTGTAATATTCGGCAAATGTTCAAGACATCTGGAGAAACATACATCCTCTACGTCGTCCATCAGGCTACCGGAAACTAGACACCCCATATCGGTTTCGCAGCCGGAACTAGCATATGCTAACGTGCACATAGTCCATTGCAAGTTCTTAGCAACACCATCCGGCGGCCTGGTGTGTGGATCCACAAGTAATGAAGATAATTGTGAGTTAAGCGTCTGCGACTTTCACTTTGATTTGTGATGGTTTGTTCGTTGGCTTGATGTAGAGATGCACAGCTTCTCATCTGCGGTGATGCTGCAGTAGAGTCGATATTTCTGACTTGCATGACATATTACCTATAACACGCTCTCATACGTTTATTTTTTTTGCATTTTTGGGAGGAGTAAAATTTACAAATGTGGTTTCAACAACCAGATGCACATACACTTGTCCAGTTTCGTCTGGAAAGCGGCCCAGCCCCAGACCACCTCCTGATGTGGTATGAGCGATTGGATTCAAATCCGTCTCAAATGCGTTTGGGAGGGCATTTACACCCTGGGCCTCATGTATAAAACTTTGCGTAGATTTCATCCTTAAAGTCCCCGTGAAATCAAAATTGAACCTATTTACTTTGTTAGCGCATATTACTAGTCTTGTGGTGAACAATTAATCCGTGCAAGTGAATATATATTAAAAAATGTTTTACCTTAGTAATCTTTAATCAAAATCTGAAAAGTTACTTCCGGTCTGGAACAGTTTCTTTTTCTGATGACGTAGGTTTCACAGTTTGGGTGGGGAAACGCTTAACCACTCCCCTCAAACCGTTAGTTTGCTATGAGCGAGAGATGGAGAGGAGGAGCGCTAGAGTAAAACCCTGCCCTCTGTTCAATATTCCGTTTCACTTGGAAATACGTCACAGCACTGGAGAAAAATCGTTTGCAACTTCCGGTTCACGGGGACTTTAAAGTGTGTTATAAGGCAGAATTTGCGTAAGCACAAAAGTTTTCAGATTTATAAAACCGTTCGTACGCCAGAACCTGCGCAGAATTCACTTTATAAATCCCAGCAATCAGCGGAAGATTGTGCGCACGTGCGTCTCCTCCCCGAAATAACCATATATGGAGATTACAACGCCTAGTTTAAATATGCATATCCTCATCTGCATGTCATTTGCGTATGATTATTCATCCACATGATAACATGTTTAACGGTACAAGACGTTGGGAAAATATGAATACGGATGTGTCGTCACATTATTACAAACATTTTTTTTTTTTAGTAGCCTATATCCTTGCCTTGTTTTTGAATAAATAAATCAAATATTGTTAAATACATTTCAGAGAAAGTTTTTCTCAATCTTTTCCACTGGCCAAATAGTATTTTTAATCAGGCATGTGATTGGCTAAGGACAAAAAAGCAGGAAAATATACCTGTAAAAAATATATAATATTAACATTAATAGTTCTCCCAAAAATTGTAATTGTCATCATTTACTCTCAAGTTGTTTTAAACCTGAATAAGTTTCTTTCTTCTTTTTAAGTTATTTGGAAGAATGTGGGTAACAAAACAGTTGATGTACCCCAGTGATTTCCATACTAAATTTTTCCCTATGGAAGTCAATGGGGACCAGCAACTGTCTGGTTACCCACATCTTCTTTTTTGTTCAGCACAAGAAATAAATGAATACAGGTTTGGAACAACATTACAGTGAATAAATAATGGCAGAATTTTTATTTTGGGGTCAGCTATCCCTTTAAGAACAAGCGGCTGCATTTTTATTATTAGGGCTACTGTCACTTTAAGACCTGTACGCGACACGTCTAATATACACGGAGCATTTGACAAGCAGATTTCTCTCAATTTTCTCGGTTTGCTTTCAGTTGGCCTCCCCCGAGAAAATTTTGATTTCTCTGACCAAATTATGTGCCATTTAAGACTTTTGAAGGCCAAAAAAGGATAATAAATAGCTTTAAAACCATGTCAGTGGGCATTCGATTATTTTGTCAATAGCCTACCTGCTCTCTTCTCATCTACATCTTTATTTTTCTCAGTCTCCTTATCCTGCCCTATTTCTTCCCCTCCTAAACTCCTAAACCCCCTGAACTTTGACTGATAGTCTTTCATTTTCATCTGTCAGTGAAGTAAATAATTGATAATTATATGTTTCATGAATCATTATCTTAAACAAGTTAATTTACTCAAGGCTACCAGGTCTGTATTGCCACCTAATACAAGCTTTGGAATTTAAAAAAAGTTATTTTAAATAATACAAATTATTTGGTGGAATTGGCAGACGTTCCCTCATCATGCGCTGTGCAAACCCGTGAAAGCATTCTCAGGATTCGATGCAGCATTAAATGCACGCAGGTGATTTTTGAATATTAATTAACGAATATTAATGTCGATATACAATGGTTTGTTAAAACTAATCCTGCTATTGATCTCTTTGTAAGACCCTAGAACAGCGTCTATAGGGAAAACAAATGTCAGGCGAAATATTTCGGACCTAAAACTAACTTTACCGCGCTCAACCACCGCAAGTGCATTTCAAGCATTTGTAAAGCCTTGTGTATAACTAGACGCGTCCGCACGAGCGCGGGGCTCCGCGCGCACCTCTCCAAACGGACGAGACGTTTATAGCTACTTTATATAGTTTATACTTTATGCTGTTATACTTAATACAGTTTATACTTTATATAATTTATACTTTGTGTTTATCGCTCGCGTTCAGCGGAGAGGAAGGGAAGTTGGTCCATATCGGGAGAAGCAAGATTCGTTGAGATTAATTAATCTATTTATTTATTAATTTATCTGAGGTGCCGGAACGCAGTTCCGGACCACTTTAACCCCTGGACATAACCAAATGTTCTTATGTAAACCTTGTGTATATTTGAGAGTATTAGCGAAATAATACTAGGCTACTCGAAAGATAACTTAGTCCAGCAACCAGGCGCTGTTACAAGCTTTTAGCGCATGTGCACGTCGGGTGTTCGCGCTCAGAACAGCGCATTAGCAGTGAATGACATGTTTAACCGGCAAGGCTTTAAAGCAGATGCAAATTAACTTTTGTGAACTCGCTGAACTGATGTAGCCGTTCCTCTGCGAGTATTTGTCGCGTTGTAC